ATTAATGTGAAAATTACGGGGATTAAGTGTTTTCAAAATCTCAATTCATAATTAAGAGTTACAAGTTTTTCTTTCAAAGATTGAATAACAATTAAACTAATCCGCCCCACCCAACCTCTCTCTCTCTCTCTCTCACATCCATCAGACGACGATGTTGCCCATCTCTCTCTTTTTTTGCGACACATTGCCTTTCTCTCTTTGTGTGTGGCGCGCTGCGACTACTTTGTTGCTAGCAGCGCTGCGCACAGAGGTCATGCAGACACTGCCCGATCTATATACAGAGCAATGCCGAGGCGATCAATGGACGACAACACTGGGCGTGCAACGACTCTATACCTATAACACACAATGACTATTACATTGTTTGTAGCACCACTGCATGCAGTCACTGTGCAAAGCACAATGTTGCAGCGCATCATCGTTGCATTGGGGGTGATATGTAGACGGACAACACCGAGCGACGTTGAGCAGTTTGCGGTTTTGTTGACTGTAGACGTGAAAGATTGCTACAACGGATTTGAGATGATTTTTTGGGGTGGTTTTATGGATGTGTTCTTCCGATCTGTTATGTCGGAGTGTTGATGGTGGTTCGAGTTTGTGGTTTGTATTGATTGTCGACGTGAAGGGTTGCTACAATGGTTTTGAGATGATTTTTTGGAGTGGTTTTTTGGGTGTTTTCTTTCGATCTGCTTTGTCGGANGTGATGTGATGTGATGTGATAAAGAGTGTTTGTAACTATTAAATAATATGTGACTTAAAAAATGTTAAATTACGACTAAACTTGTAATTGTGACTCACAACGTGTTAAGTTGTGATCAATTAATTTGATAATTTGTGACTAAAAAATAACTTGTAACCAATTAATTTGATAATTTGTGATCGTGAAATAAGTTGTGACTTATAAAATTTGTTATTTGTGAACGATATATGAATTGTAACCTATGGTTAATAAATTATGACATATAAAAAATTTTATTTGTGAATGAGAAATAATTTGTAACAAATTAATTCGATAATTTGTGACCAAATTGTATAGAATTCTGACCGTAATATAAAAAATCATCCAAAAACTCCGAAGTGTAATTTTGACTAGTTCTCTCAACCTACTCAATCAGCGATTTTTGTCCATTTCTCAAACCATCCTCTAATTTTCCCCTTTAAAAATTACATATAAGTAAAATTTCACTTATAAATAAAAAGTTACATACAAGAAACTACAAACTCAAAATTTACTAAGAGACATATATGTAATTTAATTTTTTTAAAATTTTTTTTTAGAATCGGTGGATAATAAATTCTCAAGCATGAATTTGACTATTTTAAAAATCTCTGCTAAAACCACTCATATCCAGTTCGCTCATAAACGTTCAAAATTGGTATTCTAAAAAACACCCATAACCGATATGCCGAAACTCCCAAATAGGCCCTTAATGAATACTTGACATTTATTTCTATCCAGAAAAATGAATCCAGGACTTGATGAAGAATAATGTTACTTGGTCAGGTTAGGGGCGGAGCCCAGTAAGGCCCCAGGTTGGGCACAGGCCCACCCTGAACTTCTGGACTCAATTTTTTTTTTAGTTATAGGCTAAGTCTCAGCCCAAGAGAGTAAGTCCAAAATACCAATATATTATACCCAACGGCCCAAGTCGAGCGTCCAGGTCCAGACCAATCCCAAAAATTTAAACCTCTTAAGTCCCAGCCCAAGAGAGAAAGCCCAAAAAACCAATATATTATACCCAACGACCCAAGTCCAGCGGCCAGGTCCAGACCAATCCCAAAAATTTAAACCTCGTTCCTCAAACAACTCTATCCTCTCCTCCCCTGCTCCGCCTCCATTTCGCAGCCTGAAGCCTAAAGCCTCCCCTTGACTTGGGAAAGAATAGTCCCAAATTGGCCAATGTTAGTTTTTCAAATAATAGCTTCTCAGGTGAACTACCTTCTAGATTATGCAATGGCTTTCTTCTTAATCAATTTACAATGAATAACAACAATTTTACTGGAAGGTTACCAGGTTGCCTAAAGAATTGCTCGAGCCTCAATAGAGTACGGCTTCAAGGCAACCGATTTTCTAGGAATATTCTGTTGCATTTGGAGTTCATCCAAATCTCGAGTTCCTCTCTCAGCAGAAATCAATTTACAGGCCAACTTTCAATTAGGTGGGGACAATATGAAAGGCTTACAAATCTTCAGATGGATCGAAATAAAACTTCTGGAGTGATTCCAGCTGAGCTAGGCANTCCACTATAACAGATTTAGGCATACATTTTTAAGATATATCCTATATGGTGTCTGATGAGGTCTAAGACCTATTTGATTTCTCTTTTAACACATTTCTCAATATTTCTTTGTCGTCTGTTATCAGGGCATTTAAAAATATAGACATTGCCTGCTATTTAGGAAAATCTACACCTGATACCTGTTCAGTATATGCTATATGTAGAGAATGATATAATTTTGAAGCTCGATAATGAAATTATTGTACAACGATATCAAAGTATGAAAAGTCGAAAGGAACAAGTGTAATTTATAAACTATGTTATTTTTAGTATTGTCGTAATATTGTTTTATATTTTTATTATCATTACATCTGTGACAAAAACTCGACGTAAAATATCGATAAATTGTGCCCACCCTGAATTACTTTTCTGGCTCCGCCCCTGGTCAGGGTGATTGACAGGAAATCGGGTAACGGCGTGGGGGTTGCAACAATTGATTGATTGTTTTTTTTTAAAAACTATCAAATCATGCGTCGATACGTGTCGTCTTATTTTTTAATCTGTCATTGAACTTGTTTGTGTAGTATAACTCCTTGATGAATAGATAACATTTATTTCAATACAGAAAGCTGTCCTACAAATATTTACCAACCACCTTCTTTAGGTTTCCAACTACATCTTTAAAAGGGACACTCTTGCCATACACTGAGGATTTATCAATTATATGTTGCCTGAGAAAATCAGTCCATTGCCATACACTGAGGATTTGTCAATTATATGTTGCCTGAGAAAATCAGTCCCAAAGAAATTTATAAATAATTCATATTACGTCACATTGACAGTGATTTAAGATAAATAGATGGGAAGCCTACATCAAGAACATGTTGAAAAATAATTTGGCACATGGGTCTGCATATGTAAATAAGTGTATATTAAAGGTTATTTTAAGGTTAAACCTATTTAAAATGATCGTTAATGTTATTGGGACTTTAGGCATCTAATATAGTAGGGATCTAATTATATGTAGAGACTTGCTTTCTTTTGTTTTATTTTATGATGCATCAAAATACATATATATGAAAATATATATTAAGGTTATGGTCATCAGTTCATACGTGTGTTCTCATTCCCTTGGCCATCCCATTATCAGAAACAATACTGAGACTTCTCTCTGAAAGACACAGTATTGTAGAAGAAGATCAAGAATCTGCAACCATCTCCGTTCCCAATGGATCAAGGTACGCTTCAACTTTTATTCTCTTGTTGATTTGACATGGAATA